AAAAAAAAAAAAAAAAACTGTGGAGGAACATCACATAAATAGAAAATCTGGGTTAGACTTCTGGCGATGACCGGGATCTGAGTGATTACAGGACTCGATGAATGAGACGAATCGGAACCATCACATGGGTCAAGCTATCTACACTGACGTAAATCTCACAAAGGTAGACTCGTGGTTGCGGTGCGTGTTGGTCTTCCCAAAGAGTGATTTTCTTCAGGTACGGTACCCCAAATTTTTTGACCCACACTATAAGACGAGAGACACTACCATTCATCATAGTAATCTTCTTGTATAGTCCATCAGCATTCAAATAAGTTTTACGAAAATCAGAAACACGTAACGGGATGACTCGCGATATGTCGAGCTCTATAGAAAAATGAAAATTAATTTTTTATAGACCTCAGCATACCGCGAGTCATTCTGTTACATGTTTTTGATTTTCGTATGAATCCTGATGGACTCTACAAGAAGATTATTATGATGAATGATGAATGGTAGTGTCTCGTCTTATAGTGTGTGTCAAAAAAATTGGGGTACCCTACCTGAAGAAACTCACTCTTTGGGACACCGCAACCACGGGTCTGCCTTTGTGAGATTTATGTCGGTGTAGATAGCTTGGCCCATGTGATGGTTCCGATCCGTCTTATTCATCGGGTCCTGTAAACACTAAGATCCCATAGCCGGAAGTCCAGCCCAGATTTTCTATTTCTGATCGAGTGATGTCCCTCTACTAGGTTCTTTTTCTGGTCCATTTAGTTACTGTCTCTGAGTCTTTTTTAAGCAACTTTGATATAAGTTGTGATCCATTAGTGGATGACTTTCTGATTTAGTTAATGATTCATCTTTTTGAAGCAGTATTGCTTTGTAGCTTAATGCATCAGAACTTCTTTTTCCTCAAGGTCTTCAGGAATTAAAGTTGCTTTTTTTTTGTGTACTTTAACAAACCAAACTAAACAAAAAGAGAACATTAGTCCAGTGTTGAATATGTTACCACTCTCTGAGGATCCCTATAATTCTATTTTATTCATCTCTACCACTCTATGAGGATCCCTATAATTCTATTTTATTCATCTCTGATCCTGAGTTTGGGGAGTGCTCACAGGGTTTGGGTTAGGAATATGGTTGTTGTGTAGTTAGTAGATGTTTTTTGTAGCTGTGTACTGTCTGTCTTCTTTCTATTTNTTTTTTTTTTTTTTGTCTTTTCTTTTGTTTTTCTAGTTCTGTATAGCTTATGTTGATGTTTGGTAGGGTTATTCTGGTTTGTTACCAGGTTTCCTCTACGCTGCTGGTTCTTTTCTTTTTCCTAGTTTTCTTTGATTTGGTCAGGCTGTAATGTATCTGTGTAGACTCTGTACATATTGTTTTTGTTAATGCAATTTATCAGTTTGAAAAAAAAAAAAGACCCTTTGTCCATTTTAGACTTGAGTAATTCCGGCCCAAGCTAAGCTATATTTTCGACCCAAGTCTTCATATTAAACCGCCCTTGCATTGAGTATGTGGCTTCAAGTGTGTTCAAATTTGCAAAATTCGGTGCCAACTTTGGGCAAGTGTCATATCAATTCTAGCATTTAAATGATTTTTGTAACATCAATTAACCCTTATCCCTCCTCTTTGACCGGTCAAGTATCCTTTTATCGTGCCTTTTATGCAACCATTTATGGTATTAACTAGCAAATTGATTCCCCTCTCTTTTCTCTCGGGGAAAAACCGGATTTGAGGCCAAAAGTCCCATTATTCACAAAACAAAATTCTCCATTAGCTCTCTTTCATTTTGGTTTTTTCGGCCTTTGTTTTTCGATCAGAAAAGAGAGCAGCCAAAGAAGAGTTTTCGTCCTTTAAAAAAAAAAAAAAAATTCCTCAAACCATCTCCCGTAACCTCGCAAACAGCCCACACGTGAGCGACACCCAACGACGCTTCGTCAATCTCGCAAGCAGCCCTTGTCGACGGTTCCACCTCCCTCGCACGAGCAGCAGGCCGAGACTCCGTCACGCAATTCCCGGAGGAGCCACGAATAGGCTTTGGTGCATTCAAAACCGTGACACGCGCCGAGGCCGAGCAACACTGTATTCAAACGGCTCGAAGACAATTCTACGCGATTGAACGACGAATATCCAAACGATTCGACGAGCGAATTAAAACGAAAGACGAAGGGCGAACGATTATCGATTGACAAGAATAATAGATTAACAAGACGATTACTTCCAAATTCATCGGTAGAAGCTCTAACGAGGATTTGTCGAGTAAAACGCCTAAAATAAAAGCAAGCAAAACCTTAGAATACTCCAACTCGTCTAAAAATGAATTGGGTACTACACCTAATCCACACACAAAACTATACTCCAACTAGTGGAGACTAACAAATTCAAACAAGTAGAGAATAACACCCTTACCTAACAGAAAACAACCTAACCACACACACACCTATTCTACTAAAAGAGTAATACCTCCCTAGTTCCTAACTAGCAACCAACAGCTACCACACAGCTCAGAACAGAAGCCAAAGTCCACAACTAAACAACCCCACAAAAGGAAATCAAAAGAGCAACAAAGACGGACCCAGATCTAAAAACTCCAACTAAAAACAACGGGTAGAAAGAAGAGGCGAAAAAGGCAAGCCATAGTCTAGATCTGTACTCCCTTAGTCGTCAAAGAGGGCTTCTCCTGACCGTCAAGAGGCTAGAGATGGAACGGCGGTTCGACGGACCCATACCCTTGCCTGAGAGAGGGCTACGCATCGAGTCGCAGCGAGCCCATACCCTCACACGGCTACAATTGGGGCGAGAGGAGAGTCGCCTGCCTCAGCCAAGGCTGACCCTGGCGTGGTTGCTTGGGGAACTGTGGACTTCGGCNCGGAAAGGGATTTTGTAGTGCCCCATTCGTTTATTAAAGATTGCTCATTTATTTTATTTCTTGAGTATATTACTTTACTTGGCTATCTTTTTGAGTAGTTTAGGCCGGCTAATCTGCCCTTGTTTTCAATAAGATTATTTGGATGTTCTTGTCTAAATGATGAATTAATTATATAATTATTCCGTTTTTATTACTTTCGGTTGTTAGCGAAATCATTCATCGTCAAGTTCAAATGTCTCATGAGCCTCGTTTTAGTCGAGTCTCGTACCATTTGGACTTATATTTCAGCCTAGTCTCCTTATATTATGTTGGCCCCAATCCAAGAAATAAACCAGCCCAAAGTGCTTATATATCCGGCCCGGTTATGTAATTGAAAAGAAAGAATGACCCGGTGCACGTCTCTCATAAGTTTTTTTTCTTTAAAGACGATATTAGTTTTTTATTATCATTTTTGACTTTTACGTTCCACTTGTACGATTTCTCCAAAGGCTAAAGATACACCATGAGTTTTATTTCTACCAACAGACCCACTTCCTCTCGGCTTTAATTCTCTCCGTTCAAAAAGCAAATCTCAGTATTCGGCGCCCCTCCTCTCCATCTGCCGCCGCGGCTTGCTCCGCTCCTCCAACCATAGGTTGGACCAGTGATGGGCAGCCATATCCTTCGGGCTCCGCCTTTCTGGCCATGGGGTGATTCCCGACGCCAGCGGAGGGTCTGCATCTCGGCGCCATCTCGCCCTGTTGTTGGGCTCAGGTGCGCAAATGCGGAAGGTGTAAATTAAAACACCAACTGTGAAATGGTGAATAAAAATAATAATCCCAGCAACTCAAGAATGACAAAAGAAATCTCTTGCAATCAAACAGGAATAATTCTTTTCTAATGTGGAAGATCAGATTAAACTGCGACCACAGAGCATACTAAGAATATTCCAAATAAATATAATATGCAAGAAAGAAGACACCAAGATTTAACGTGAAAAAACCTCCAATGTAGAGGAAAAAACCACGGGACAAACTCCGAACAATTTCACTATATTTTCAAGATAATTACAATATCTTTTCACACTCCCCTACACTAGAAATGTAAAATATAGTGACCCAGTGAGAACCCACTCCAATTTAAATATTACAAACAAGGAGTAATAGAGATGATACCCAACCCGTGTATTTTTCCCACACTCACAGGATTTACTCAAACACTCTATTTTTCTCTCACTGAAAAATAACATTCACAAGAAATATTTTTATTTCTTTTCTTGTTCTCTCTTTTTCCTTCTCGCTTGGTGTGTTTTACTTCTGCTGCTGAATACCCCTCTATTTATAGAGGGGAGAAGTACATGTGAACGAAATAAATCGTGTGGCTGCTTACTTCCTCGCTGCTTCATTTTCTCTTTCCTTTCAGTAGTGATGGGCTTGATTTTTTTTCTTTTCAATTGTGGTGGGCGTCTGCCACCACTTTCCTTTTTTTTTCTTTGATTACAGCTGGATCCCACACCTGTCTCCGATATCGTCTCCCTCTCGAAGTGGGTTAATCAGGGTTTCACAAAATTTAATTTTTTTTTCCTGTGGAGGTTTAATTGATTGATCTAGATGTATGAGTTGTTGGATTTAAGATCTGAAAATTTGAAGATAGAACTCCAGCAGCACCTCTGGATTTAATATCACAATTTTTTTTACTGTCTCCCTACTCCCGCCGCCGGCAACGTCTGCCGCCTCGAGGTTTGGGTTAGTGATTTAGGGTTTCGGAAATTTTTAATTCTTTTTTTTTTGTTATGGATTTAAGATCTGATTTGAAGATAGAATTCTAGCCAGTCCATGGTCTGTTCGAGAGCTCTTATTGGATCACTCTTGAATAATTTTTAAAAAGTTCTTTGAAAGTAGATTGTTAGAGTTAATTTGATGTTTATCTTGAGTTTATTT